TTGAATGTCTTTTTGCATTTGCGAGTGTTTAAGCGCAGAGCTCTGACATTTATCACTCATGTTTATCTGACAGTGAAGGTGCATTCATGTAGGGAGGAAATATTACACAAGCGCTGCTCAAAAACACAATCGGGCACAAACTGCTGTGTTTTCAAAATTGCTGGCGTAAAGCTGAAAAAGGGCTATTTTTTTCTGAAGGATATGTTGCTTTCATGCAGGTACATTAAAGCTCTTTAGTAGTTCTTAAGAGGTCATGCTACAATACATTTGAAAAAAAAACCTTATTGATAAACCACAAATAACCAAATCTGAAGCTGATACTATATATGATCCAGAGGCGAGGTCAATAATCGTTTTGACGAAAACACAATCAGTGGTCCTGCTTTTATCGCTTAAAGAATCTGTCATGTCTGTGTCCTACAGAAAGAAATGATTATATATTTGTTTTTACATGACAATTCACATTTTTACTATAATGAAAATATCATTATATCAGTCATTACTGGAGAAGCAGTTTTTAAGGTTTTGGTGTTTGTTTAAAAACATATATAAATGAATAAATAAATTATAGAAAGAATAAATAAATAAATACATGAATGAATGAAGGAATAAACTAATTAATTAATTAATTAATTAATAGATGAATGAATAAATAAATAAAATGAATAAATGAATGAATAAATAAACAAATTAATAAATGAATGAATGAATAAAGAAATAGATGAAAGAATAAAGGAAAAAATTCATGAATAAATAAATGAATGAATGAATAAATGAATATAAGAATGAATGACTTATTGAATGACTAAATAAATAAATAAATGAAAAAAATAAATGTATAAACAAATAAATGAATGAATGGATGAATAAATGAATTAATGAATAAATTAATAAATGAATAAATAAATAAATGAACGAATAAATGAACAAATTAATGAATTAATAAATAACTGAATAAAAAAATTATGAATAAAAGAATAAATAAATGAATTAACAATTAAATAAATGAATTAATAAATTTATTTATTAATAAATACATAAATTATTAAATAAATAAGTAAATAAATAGATAAACAAATGAATGGATAAAACAAAAATGATTTTATGAATAAATAAATAAATGAATTGATAAATAAATTAATTAATACATGAATGAATAAATAAATTAATTAATAAGTAAATGAATAAATAAACAAATGGATGGATAAACAAATGATTATTATAAATAAATAAACAAAATGAATGAAAAAATACATGAATAAATGAATATATAAATGAAAAAATTAAGGGATGAATGAATAAATAAACAAAGAAATGAATAAATAATTTAATGAATGGATGAATGAATGAATAAATAAACAAATAAATAAATGAATGGATGATTGAATAAATAAATAAAATTATATATATATATATATATATATATATATATATATATATATATATATATATATATATATATATATATATATATATATATATATATATTTCTTTGTTTTAAACTGGCTATCTGTGAAGCACATGCTATATTTATATAGCTTTACATGTAATATGTAAAATGATATTTATTATTAGATTCTTTGTCAGCATTTTCTTTATTGTACTGTAGAAAAATTAAGCCTGTTTTCATTTTCCATGGTTGCTTTCATTTCATTACAGTTAAGCACACTTTCTTTTTGGCATAATTTGTATTTAAAATAAGAAATAAAACTACATCACCGCAGGCACAGACTACTGGATTTAATAATATCGAGATCCTGGAACAAAGTGAAAAAAAATGCATTTTTTGAAGCATGCATCGCTTTCATAAGAGTACATTAAAAGCACTTCAGCTCACAAATAAGCAAATATGCAAAAAAAAAAAAAAAACCTTAGACTTTCATTTTCTGATGTATTGCAGTTTCTGCTCTTATTCAGGAGCATTAAAGCTCTTCATTCACAAAAAAAGCAGAACATTTCGGACTGAACAAGATTTCTGATCAACCACTGAACTAAATCTGATCCTGCATATTCATTAAAATATAAAAAAAAATAATAATCTCCGACTCCAAGCTATCAAAAGCACATCATGTTTCACAACACACACAGGAAGAAACAATTATAATTTTGCATATGTAAATATACACATGTATATACAAATATTTAGAAATTAGCACAGAGCGTTTTGAGTGCATTTTTCAATAAAGTAAGATCTCTTTTAAGGGGCACCTATGATAAAAATCTTTTGTAAGTGGTTTGGACAGAACTGTGTGTAGGTATAGTGTGTCCACCACGGTCATATTGGGGTCTTATAAAAACAATCAGTTCCTCTGTTAAATTTCCTGACATTAAAATAGGTAGGAGTAGGAGTGCTTTACATATTCAGTTATCCTACATTCAAGGCCCGTGCACAGAGACATTTTTTGCTCGCGTTTTTCATCAACGTTTAAACACCTAGTGACAAAATAAAGGGATTCAATGTGATCGTGCACACCAACGCGCAAAACGCCAGGCGCAAAAGCGTGATTAAAAAAAAAAAAGCCTCATGCTCGTTTTTTTTGTTTTGACAAGCCGCGTCAAAACCTTCTCCACCAATCAGATCAGCACTTTTGTTCACGTGCACGGAGCTGCTGAAGTTATCATAAACAACACTTGGGGGTGCTCAAGCACAAAACTGTCAATGCGAGCGCACATTGAAGAAGATGCCCAGAGGCGATATGAACGTTTAGCTGCTTTTTGCATTGGTAAACAATAATCATTTCTTCATCGCTAGAGCTGGAGCTGCTGCTTGAACCCTCCATGCTTGTTCGAATCACCAGTAAATTTAACAACATGCGTGTGACTGTGAACTTCCGCTCCTCCACTTCTTCTGTGTTATAACCGGGTGTCAGAAGCTTATAGCTTAGCAGCGCCATCTAACGCCAAAAGAGTGATTTAGCATACTCTTCTGCTTGACGACAGTGAAAAGCGTTTGGGTTTGAACACTGAAAAACGTCTTGTAAAAACGCTGACGATAAACGCAAACAAGAAACATCCCGGTGTGTAGGAGCCTTTAGTCATTCTTCAGAATAGCCTTCTCATAGGGCCTACTCACACATTGCCATCTGTACCGTGCCCAGGCCCGTTTCCCGGATCGTTTGAGAAGTGTGAGTGCGCTGAATCGGGCTCAAGCATGGTTCACTTGGCCGGCCCTAGCCCGGTTGGAAGAGGTGTGCCTGAGCGCGGTTCACTTGGGCTTTGGCGCGGTACGCTTGTGTGTGAGTGCAAAACGCGCCAAAGCCCAAAACTGAAAGCAAGACGTGACTTTTAAGGGGCTGTTTCATATGGATTTATTTATCATTCTTACTGTTCAGTGAACGCAAACTGCCGTAGTTTATTAAAGACGCAAACCCCTCACTGCATGACAGCTGCGCCTTCAGCAGACCTCCTCATTCCTGCAGCACGAGAGGTTTATGATTGTTTATGAGCGCCAAAAGTGCCGGATCTGTTCGGCGAAATATCTGACTTTGTGTCTCCGCATCCCTAAGGACTGTTTGGCGAAATATTTGACGGCATATCAAACGACTGAAACGATATAACTAGAGAAATCTCCACTGTGCTGCTGAGTGAGAGAGCGCTTCTCGATGACGTAAGTGTGCCGAAGCCCATTTGTGGTGTGAGAGCAGGCTGTCGGGGGAGACGGGAGGGGGGACAAGCGTGCTTTGGCCCGGTTCGAGGCAACTGTACCTAGTGTGAGTACGGCCTTAGTGTTGCTCCTGTGCAGGCTTACTCAGCTTACACAAACCCAGTTTTAGTCGGACATGTTTACTATACACACATGATACTTTTAGAAAATACTTTTAGAGAATTAAAATCTTCTTCACAGAGCCCCTTTAATGTTCTACTAAGTAAACAAGTCAACTACAACTTGAAAGACCAGTGGGTTATAAAAGTAACAGGAAATGTTCATTTTTTGGGTGAACTATCCCTTAAAGCTTGTCTCAGAGCAGTTTCAGAATCAGACTTTTTATTGTCATTATACAAAATACAATGAAATTTGTGTTTGCGCTACTTATCTGTCTAAAACAACAATAGTAGCAAGAAAAGATAAAAACAAAGACATTTTACATTTACATTTAGTCATTTAGCAGACGCTTTTAGCCAAAGCAACTTACAAATGAGGACAAGGAAGCAATTTACACAACTATAAGAGCAGCAATGAGTAAGTGCTATAGGCAAGTTTCAGGTCTGTAAAGTGTAAGAAGCAAAACATTAGTAATTTATTTTTGTAATACAGTTAGCTGTACAACCAGAGAGGCAATTACAGATTAGGAAGTGAAGTGGAGGCTAAATAGTTGAGTTTTTAGTCGTTTCTTGAAGACAGCGAGTGAATCTGCCGTTCTGATGCAGTTAGGGAGTTCATTCCACCAACTGCAGATTTATGTGCCCTCCAGAAACTTACGTTCTGTGAATGAACGTCGCCTCGTGGTTCCATCCCAAAGAGGGAAGAAATCACTTTCCCGAACTCTCGTGTTCAATCTGCCCAGTTGGTGGAATGAACTCTCTAACTGCATCAGAACGGCAGAGTCACTCGCTACTTTCAAGAAACGACTAAAAACTCAACTATTTAGTCTCCACTTCACTTCCTAATCTGCAATTGCCTCTCTGGATATACCACCAACTGTACAAAAAAAAAATAATCCATTTACTAATACTTTCCTTCTTAGACTTTACAGACCTGAAACTTGCCTTTAGTACTTATTCATTGTTGCTCTTATAGTTGTGTAAATTGCTTCCTTGTCCTCATTTGTAAGTCGCTTTGGATAAAAGCATCTGCTAAATGTAAATGTAATGTAAATGTAACTGGGCAGATTGAATTTGAAATAGAATTTTGAGCTGAGACACATTCTGGAGACACCAAAGACTTATTAACAGGGTAAAATAGAGCACTTTACATAGGAAAGTTAAAATAGGAGCTCTTTTAATTTGCTTCAGGATTTAATGTGTTGTCTGTCCTGCAGGGGGCGATTGAAACACTCACTATGGAGGCCTCTGGTTGGCCGGGTGGAGAAGATTCTTCGGACAGTCGAGTATATGAGGTGACGGTGGTCCAAAACTCCACGGCTCCTCACGGTCACCCGTTCGCAGATGTGGCCTTGCTGCAGAGCTTTAAGCCCCTTATCATCCCCTGTTACGTACTGGTGGTCCTGGTGGGCGTTTTCGGCAACTACCTGCTGATCTACGTCATCTGCCGTACCAGGAAGATGCACAACGTCACCAACTTCTTCATCGGGAATCTGGCCTTCTCCGACATGCTAATGTGTGTGACCTGTGTCCCGTTCACCCTGGCCTACGCCTTCAGTGCCCATGGCTGGACGTTCGGCCGCTTCATGTGTTATCTGGTGTTCCTGATCCAGCCAGTCACTGTATACGTGTCTGTTTTCACGCTCACCGCCATCGCTGTGGACAGGTCAGGCTTGCCTTTTACACTAGTACTTTTTCACTTTATTAGTGCGTTTATTTATTTTAATTTTTCCATTTTATGTGTGTGTGTGTGTGTGTGTGTGTATGTGTGTGTGTGTGTATATATATATATATACACACACACACACACACCGGCTACTTTGTTAGGTACACCTGACCAGCTGCTCGTTACTGGAAATTTCTAAATAGCCAATCACATGGCAATGCCTCAATGCATTTACATTTACATTTAGTCATTTAGCAGACGCTTTTATCCAAAGCGACTTACAAATGAGGACAAGGAAGCAATTTACACAACTAAGAGCAACAATGAATAAGTGCTATAGGCAAGTTTCAGGTCTGTAAAGTCTGAGAAGGAAAGTATTAGTAGTATTAGTTTTTTTTTTTGTTTTTTTTGGGTACAGTTAGTGTGATATTCAGAGAGGCAATTGCAGATTAGGGAGTGAAGTGGAGACTAAATAGCTGAGTTTAGTCGTTTCTTGAAAGTAGCGAGTGACTGCTGTTCTGATGCAGTTAGAGAGTTCATTCCACCAACTGGGCAGACTGAGCGTGAGCGCTCGTGAAAGTGATTTCTTCCCTCTTTGCGATGGAACCATGAGGCGACGTTCATTCACAGAACGCAAGTTTCTGGAGGGCACATAGATCTGCAGAAGTGAGAGCAGATAAGAAGGAGCAAGGCCAGAAGTCGCTTTGTAGGCAAACATCAGAGCTTTGAATTTGATGCGAGCAGCAACTGGCAGCCAGTGCAAACGGATGAGCAGCGGAGTGACATGTGCTCGTTTAGGTTCATTAAAGACCACTCGTTCTGCTGCGTTCTGGAGCAGCTGAAGAGGCTTGATAGAGTTAGCTGGAAGCCCAGCTAGTAGAGAGTTGCAGTAATCCAGTTTGGAGAGAACAAGAGCTTGAACAAGGAGTTGAGCTGCATGTTCAGATAAGAAGGGTCAGATCTTTCTGATGTTATAGAGTGCGAATCTGCTCAATCGAGCAGTTCTAGAAATGTGGTCAGAGAAGTTTAGTTGGTCATCAATCGTTACTCCAAGGCTTTTCACCATTTTGGATGCAGTAATGTCTGCCCCATCCATCTGGATTGAAAAGTTATGGTGTAGAGTCGGGTTGGCAGAAACTACAAGCATTTCCGTTTTTGCGAGGTTCAGCTGAAGATGATGATCTTTCATCCAGTGTGAAATATCCAACAGGCAGGCTGAGATGCGAGCTGGAACCGAGGGATCATCAGGATGAAAAGAGAGGTATAGCTGGGTATCATCAGCATAGCAGTGAACATGTGAACATGAATTAGTCATGTGAACATGGTCAAGACGATCTGCTGTAGTTCAAACTGAGCATCAGAATGGGGAAGAAAGGTGATTTAAGTGACTTTGAATGTGGCATGGTTGTTGGTGCCAGACGGGCTGGTCTGAGTATTTCAGAAACTGCTGATCTACTGGGATTTTCAAGCATAAACATCTATAGGGTTTACAGATAATGGCTCGACAAAGAGGAAATATCCAGTGAGCGGCAGTTCTGTGGGCGCAAATGTCTTGTTGATGCCAGAGGTCAGAGGAGAATGGCCAGACTGGTTCCAGCTGATAGAAAGGCAACAGAAACTCAAATAAGCACTCGTTACAACTGAGCATGGGCGAAAATCGCGGGGGGGACGGGGGGGACATGTCCCCTTCCATCATAGGCTTGCAATAGAAATGATTGAGGAACAGGCAGAGCAGGGTCAGTCAGATGTACAGTGTCAGGTAAGGGTGTTGTGCTTTATTGAAGGGATAATGATAATTCTTTTGGGATGAACAATTTTTTTATGTTTTCTGAGTTGTGTCTGTTAAGCAGATGAACCTCACAGGCTCACTGATTTACAATATGATCGGTCATTTTAACAAGTGTAATGTAAACAAGTTTTTTTCTGCATTTATTCTGCTTCAGTAGTCAGTCTGTTGACTGTAAACAACACAACAAACAATGCAATAAATAGTTTTGAAGAAAAATTTGCTGTCATTGAACCTGAGAAATTTTTTTTTTAAATAATCATAATGACGTAGTCTCCATGCTATAATAATAATGATGAAACCATTTTTAACTGCGGGGACATATCGTTAATAATACAATTCGGCTGTATTATTTGTGTCCCCTTCAAAAAATGCTGGAAAGAAATTTTATATTTATCGCCCCCTGACAAATCTGCAGCAACTGTGTGATGCGATCATGTCAATATGAAGCAAAATCTCTGAGGAATATTTCCAGCACCTTTTTGAATCTACGCCATGAAGGATTAAGGCAGTTCTGAAGAAGGGTCAAACCCAGTACGAGTAAGGTGTACCTAATAAAGTGGCCAGTGAATATGTGATTATATTTATATATAAGGCACAATCCCAATACTAATTTATACCCCTAGCCCTTTACCAAACCCTTCACATTTTAATAAAAAATATATATATATATATATAAATTATAAGCACTTGAAATGGCATGTAAATGGTGAGCAGTTTTGCAGTTTTGGGTGAGCATGCAATCAACCCTCTGTTCATCAATGTCTGACAGGAGGCGTATAATAGGCAAATTAAAGAAGAGCAAATGCTCCAAAAAAAAAAAATGTGTCAGATGTAAACATAATAGCACTCATACGTCACATATTTGATGTTTAAGTTGTGAAAATGAAACATTCTGATGGCCACTTCTGATAACATTTACATGATTCACTAAGAAATTTTATTAAATATTTGTGTTCATGCTACAATCTTGTCCCATAATTTCTATACTTTTAGCTTCTAACACTTTTGGTCTTGTAGTGTGAAAGGAGAGCTTTCTCAATCAAAGAGTAAACGCCAGTGTGGAAGCGGAAGGTGATTTTTAAAACACAGCATTAAACAAAAACGCGCTGGCATAAACGTGCAGCATGACCCAGTAATGATCCTGCTAATGGCTCACACTGTTACTGACGCAGATATCAAAGCGCATTGGTTCCGATTTCTTAAGATGAAAGCACGTCCAAAGCGCACCGTCTACTAAATGATGGCTCTTTGGAAGGATTTTGCGTGTGTGTGTGTGTGTGATTTACGCTAAAGGCTTTTGGAGATTGTTAGAGGTCTGGAAAGTAAAGGCAGTTTAAGATTACGGTTTGTGATGTTTCCATCTACTGCTTTGATGTTTGTTGACAAAATTGAACTGTTTTCTTGCTTTCCTGACAGAAAATCATTCCAGAATATCTGTTGAAACCTTTCACCACAGAAAACGGATTAAAGAAATAAAAAGCAAACTAACCTTTTGTAAATATTATATTGGTGAATGTCACAGTGAATTTATTCATTAAAAGAAAGCCAGTTTTTTTTAAACATTAGTAATACTTTTAGTATCTGCAGGCAATTTATTCCATAAAAAAATCCCCAGAATATTTAAAATATATAATCTAAAATACCTCCTAATATAAATACAATTCCATAAAATCAATAATTTTAAAAAGATTATATAAAAATAAAATACGTGCCCCCACTGCCCTCTGTGCCAAGCAATCCCGTTGTCTTAATTTTTGACCGTCCTTCCCTTGCTCATTGATCAATTTAATTGAAAAAGGAAGAAAATAATGTTTATATCTATTGTTCTTGCATAACGGGACCCTGTATTTTCTGCCAGAATTCATCAGCCCGGACAGCACGTGTGAAGAATCAGATAAAGTGTCTTAATTCCCATCATTTTTTTCCTGTCACTCTCATCAGGTTATACACTTGGGTTTTCATTTTTACTGTCAGATTCCCAAACCAAATAATAATCCCAGATCTTAAAATAGACTCTGTTGCTTTATAAAAAGTTATTATTCTGCTACTCACTCCAAATGATCTGAGTCTACATAAAAAGTGTAAATCGCTGAAGAATTTGTGCACAAAGACTTGACACCTTGAGAGTGCCAATTATGCTCACAATCAATATTCACCCCTAAATAATAATATGAATCAACCTGCTTAATGTCTTTATCATAAACCACAACAGAGCTTCTATCGCTCACTGCCCTGGGGTCTATGATGATCTCCTCCATTTTCTTAACATTAATTTTGTAACTACTTTAATTTTAATACATCAGTTTATTTATTTAAAAAAAAAAAAAGCTAAATTAATTAAACTGAAAACTCGCTTTACATTAAAAAAAAAACTAACTCAAATATTACTTATTTTTAAAATGTATTGCATTGTTACATAAAAAAGTAACATCATTACATAACGCATGTTACTTGTAATGTGTTACCCCCAACACTAGTTATAAATATGTGTTTTTATTTTAACAAAGTAATTAAATTGCAAAAATTAAAAGTGGTCAAAATTACCACCTCTGTAGTTTTAGTGTTAAGGAATGAGGTGAATGGGTAAGTCGATATCAAGCTGATATAAACGACACACTACAACAAGTCAACCAGCTTTTCTCACAGATATGCAGAAATGTACACAGCGTCCTCAAGTGGTTTTACGAGAAATGGCACATATAAAAAAACGAATCCCAGAAACACATTTAAGATTGTCAAAAATTCTACACAGCGCCCTCTAGTGGATTTGTGAAAATAAAAACTGCAAGATGTAGTCCAGCATACATAACTCTCAGTTTACAAAAATGTAGCTCTGGGCACATATGTCCAATGAGCCTGGGCTGCAATACAAAAATATGCACAGTAAACATACGAATGATTAGCCCCTGTAATTTATTTGCCCCCCTGTATATCTTTTTCCCAAATTCTGTTTAACAGAAATATTTTCTTAACACATTTCTAATCATAATAGTTTTAGTTCATAATTTCTAATAACTGATTTATTTTATCTTTGCCATGATGACAATAAATAATATTTTACTTGATATTTTTCAAGATACTAGTAGTGTTTACTAGATTACATGGACATCAGAAATCTAATAATTTGTCAACTTAATCTGTAGTTTGGCACTTTCACTTTCATTCAGGAACATTTTAAGCATGCCCCCTGTGACAAACGAGATATTGGAAGCAGGAACTGCTGGAAGAGTGTTGTTTTAACAGTATGCATGTTACCGCACGTCAAATAAGACAAAAAAAAAAAACTCCACATTTTTTGGTAACTTAGATGCACTCGATAGGTAGCATCAGAAAGCCGTATGTGTATAGACTATCCTGTCACAAAATGCAGTAAAAATCCTACACTATATGATAATAGTTTGATGAAGGTGTTTATACATTTACATTCAAGCAGCATTTACAGCGTATCTTTCAGTCTATAATATTGTAGTGATGTTAACATACCGTAAACTTAGTAACTAACTAATTTTGACTAAGGTCTGTCTTTAAAAACTGAAAGAGTACTGCTGATTTTACGTAATAGCTTTGCCATCTGAAGAAACAAAACCACTGATCACACACTTACACCAAATCTGAAGAGAACGGACAATCAACACCAACTGGAGCCGCGTCTTTATTAAAAGGAGACGAGCAGCAAATCCGGATTTCATCATTTACAGATGCGAAAAGCTCTTGGGAAAAAAATGTTTCTTACAAGCGTATTTCTGTTGCATGTCACATGCACTGTAATCCAGTCCAGCTGTGCTCTCATAGCGGAGAAATGAAAACAAAGCCTATGTTGCAGCAGATTTATAAACGCAACACTGACGACCCGTATCTCCAAACAATTCCTCTTTATCCATTTGTTTTGGCAACACAACGTGGCGTCTTTCTGCCGTCTGAACACTGTAACAGGTAAAAAAAAAAAAATAGTCTTCGAAGCTATCATGCAAATTAATGAAGATGCACCGCATACACAATAGAGTGCGCTGATAGGTTTGAACCAAGTCTTTCTCATGAATTAATGCTGAAAGCTCAAAAGACGTTGCGCTGTACTTGCCGGTACAGCCAGTCTACACGCTGAAATTCACGCAAGCATCTAATCACAGTGACGCAGCTTCAAAAATCCGTTTCAAACTGGAAGAACGAATTTGCTTGAAATAACGCAAAAACAACCAATTTTCACTTTGTGAAGTTTATTCATAAACTAATTTCGAGAGGATCACATGCTTGCGATTTATCACGGCCGGTCCCGTATTTGCTAATCACTATCTTTCAATCATATAAGCCCTAAGCTACTATAAATAATCACAGTTTTCAGCTCATTTTATCTTCGTTTGAAAGAACCCCCCCCCCCCCCCCCCTCCCCTACTCTCCTCCTTTACCTCTGATTGGGCGGCACGGCGGCCCAGTGGTTAGCACTGCGAGCCCCTCAGCAAGAACACTGCCAGACCCTGGTCTCTTAGGGCTGGCGGGTGTTTCTTTGAGGAGTTTGTATGTTCTCCCCGTGTCCGCATGGGTTTTCCCCAGCTTCTCCCGTTTCCTCCCACCATCCAAAGACATTCAACACGTACAACAATCAAGCATTTGTCTAACCCCTCTGTTCCCTTAGCTACCGCAGTCGGGGTGTTCTGAAATCCACCGAGCTCAGGCTCCCCTCTCGCTCTGCCAATGGGAGGAAGCCCCGGGCTCAAGGATCCCTTGAGCTCGGGACAGCATGCCAAACAAGCTTTTATCAATCATCAGCTAAGTGCGAACTCTTGAGTTGTGAAATATGTGTGTCCTAATAGCATTTTTAGCAGCGCGGGACACATACATGACTGTCAACATCTCAAATTGTGCGTTTTGGTGTTTCATGACCCTTTAAAGTGACATTTAACTAGGTTAATTAGGTAGGTCATTGTATAACAATGGTTTGTTCTGTAGACAATCAAAACAAATATTGCTTAAGGGGACTAATAATATGGTTTTTAAAAAAATGAAGAACTGCTTTTATTCTAGCCAAAATAAATAAGACTCTCCGGAAGAAAAAATATTATAGGAAATACTGTGATAAATTCCTTGCTCTGGTAACCATCCTTTGTAAACTCTGTAAATGCAAGCTTTTATTTTAGATGTGTGTGGTAATCTTTTGACAGCACTAATAATAATAATCTTATGTCTCATCGTGCAGGTACTACGCCACAGTGCACCCTCTGAAGAAGCGCATCTCGATGGCGGCCTGTGCGTATGTGCTGTCCGGCATCTGGCTGCTGTCCTGTGTGCTGGTGGCTCCGGCGGTGGCCCACACCTACCATGTGGAGTTCAGAGATGAGGGTTTGACCATCTGCGAGGAGTTCTGGCTTGGTCAGGAGACCCAGCGGCTGGTGTACGCTTACAGCACGCTATTGCTGACCTACATCCTCCCTTTATCCGGTCTGCGTCTCGTATTTGTGCATCTCTGTTAAACTACGCAACTGTGTTGCTCCGGGACATCGCACACGGGATCAGGCCGAAGCACAGCGGATCAGGAAGAGGAAGATCTTCAGGCTGGTGTCTCTGGTGGTGGCGGCGTTCGCTGTTTGCTGGCTGCCCATCCATGTTTTTAATGTTCTACGTGACATTGATATCCGCCTGATCAACAAGCGGCACTTTCTGCTGATCCAGCTGTTGTGTCATCTGTGCGCTATGAGCTCGTCCTGCTGCAACCCGTTTCTGTACGCATGGCTTCATGACCGCTTTCGTGCAGAGCTGCGAAAGATGTTCACCTGCCACCGGCGCATTGGGATACCTGCAAACCACTGCGCCACGGCCAGCGTTGTACTATGAACACACCAAGGGCTTCGAAAATGAGCTGAAAGCATGTGGAGCTTAATAAGAGTGAGTGGTGGGAGTGTTGGGGATGTCTAGGTGACGGGCTAGTAACTTTACTATGCACTGATTTGGTCAGCTGCTGCGATCGGATACTATACCAGATATGGCGATCCTAGGGTGTTATATACTGTACCACAAAGCTGAGGACCAGAGTAAAGGCTGATTTATACTTCTGCATCAAACGCCCGCGGTATGCTACGGAGCTGACGCAAAGCCCTTCGCCGTGGCCATCGCTGACGTGCACCTCTCAAAATTGTAACTACACGTCGCAACGACGCGTAGCGCAAGCTCTGTGATCGGTCGCCTTGGTAGCGCTGACGAGTGTGGGCGGGACCGAGAGCTGCACGAATGGCACGAGCTGGACACGAGCCCAATGGAGCGATTGTTTACAAGTGTGGAGTCCCGTGAAGGAGCTCCGGAGGGAAAGTTTTGTTTTGTGTTTACCTCATAGTTAAAGTTGTTGCACGTCCGCCGGTTCCTGCCTCAAAACGAGCGAGTTTGAGCCACTTGTACATCCAGGAAGTGTTCAGGAAAAGCAAAACAGCAGCGAGGAAACTCGACACAGAGGAACATTTACACCTCACTGCCAACTAGCGTTTCAGAAGTGTAGACCAACAGAGACAGCGCGCAGAAGTATAAACGCACAGCTACGCGCGTTGCATGCACCGTGGGTCATGCCGGTCACTTGACGCAGAAATATAAACTAGGCTTAAAGGGGTAGAGGTTGGGGGGCTAAATTATGGGAGATATCCGGGAGAAATAACAAAACCGGAGGGTGGCGGGAGATGGGTCTGAAATATGGGAGACTCCTGAGAAAAACTGGAGTGTTAGCAGGTATGGCCATTGGATCTTTTGGTCTTATGACCTGATACACTGTATGTTGGAGAATGACGTTTGTAACATGATTATGAACAAAATCAACCAATATGACAGTTTTACTACCAACGTACACCATAGCAAACCCAGTATTGACGTAAAGGCCTGATACATATCAGAGAATGAACTGGTGTGATGGCATTTCAAAGCAAAGCCTTTGAGCTCCCATTTGTCAATGTCAGTGATGTCATATGTGGGCGTGGCTCTTTTTTAAACATAAGTCATCTGTGGTTTGTTTCTTGTTCAGTTTGTCAAGATTAAGTGAAAATGTCCACACTGGAGAGATGCTCCACAGTAGAAACTCAAGTTATAATAATAACTAAAAGTAATACTACACTGTAAAAATGTCCATAAATTAGCAGGTTTTCCATATTTTGTGATTTATGTTTTTATTTCTCCCAATTTTTTATGCTTTTAAATTGCATTATGGGATCTTGATCTTTCCTCCAACTTTTAACCTTAAAGAGTTGGAAACGGTGACTTTTATGAGCATTTTTAATAAAGTAATATTTTGTCTGTGTTGTTGTAAATTACGCTACAAAAACCCTGTAATAAACCGCCTGTTATTTTCTGACTTATTTAATTATATATTAGTTCTTAAACATATTATTTCAAACCACTAAAATGTCGATAAAAATCACTGTGTTAAACTGTAGAGTTTTCAGCATCAAAAGTCAGAGCAGAACTCAACATCCCATAATGCAATGCACAGCTGTAATTAAATGGAAAATACAGAAACTTTTACAGTGTAACGCTGTATTTCATGTAAATCTGCTTTCATTAAAGCAATCTATTGTATAAAGTGCTATGTAAATAAATGTGTCGTGACTTTATTGGTGTGGCAAACATCAACAGGGGTATGATAAAATGCTTTCTGAACTGCTGTTTTCTCACTAGTCTCTTCTTGTGTTGACGTTGTTATTGAGTGAAAAGAGCACAGCACATTTTTCACATATCTAACTTTGTATGGATGTTTGTCACTGCAAAAGCATTTCAAGCTCAATGGCAAATCACCATTTTCAAACTGAATTCAGACTCAATTTCACACTGTTGCCATTTCGTGTTTGTGAGAACACAATCAACTCTTCAACTCGTGCTTTTGCTATGAAAATAAACAAAAATCTAATTATTTTCTCATGGTTGGACTGCTTTAAGGACCGCTCAAGATGTTGTTTTTTTTTGTTTTTGCAAAGGTACCAATCGATACTGAAACTTTAAAAACGTCCATTTCCCACTAACATTTGAGCACAATCATACAGAAATGAGTATGACTGGCCGTGAAGGTCATCAGTTCACCGAACTCACTGCTGTTTACTGAGTGTAAACACTAGGGATGCCACAGTTCTCAATATAATATTGAACCTTTCGGTACGACATCCACGGTTCAATACGCGCTTGTGAATTACGGTTTTCTCAGTTCTTTTAAATAATTTATGTGGGTTTTATATCTCCCCGAATTGACAGTGTGTGCCTCTAAATCTATGAGCTGAGATGAGGAAACTCCTCCCCGCAAGTAAATATCCAATCACTATGCTCAATATCACTGTCTGAACGCAGGATAGCAGAGAAGGTAATAAAGTCCTCCAAATAGCAACATTCCCTCGCTAAATCTTTCAAGCAAACATACCCAACTGGTTCCGAGAGACACATAAAAATAACAAAAGCAGTGCGGGAGTTCATTGCTAAAGATTTGCTGCCGCTTCTGTGATTGAAGATGTGGGCTTATATGTATTTTTATAAAAGCACTCGATCCGGACCTGGTTCAGACACACTTTACTTTGGGAGAACGCTTAATACTTTATCACCTGTGACTCATTTGTATTCTGACCACTTGTGCTTGGTTGTACACTATATCAAATAAGTGTTTAGACTTGTAAAAACACTGCTGTAACACATTGAGCCACTAAACATTGTTCTTATGACGTTTTTCAACAGGAGGAAAACGCTGATTACTTCCAAACACTTCAGATGTAGTCTGTGTTAGTAAATGCAGGACTATTGATGACATCCAGTATAACACTGTATGACAACGCTTCAGATGACTGTTCTAGAGCCTACAGCTAATCAATCCGTCAGATTCTGGAGTGCATTACAGCTCTGAATATAAATATAAATGATAAATGATCTTAAATACAACAAATACATGTATAGAGATGGTATATAAGTATTTAACTTTACTCACATGGGAAACGGAGGCCACGTGAATGGTTTGGGAGCACAATTAAGTGCACTCAGCATGCCATGCCATCTAATAATTGTAGGAAACAAGTCCAAAAGGCAGTTGACTCTGTAAAGCCACATAAAACAACACAGAAATACGATAAATATGCCGAGTTCAGTGGCTAATCTGCAGGATTCAGCTGAGGTGACGTGACGGCGACCAACGAGACCTAGCTGTCAATCAAGTGACCACGCCCTTAATTATGCAAACTTAATATAACTTAATATAAAGGAAACGGATGAGTTATACAAAAATTCACCCCCTCACTGTTGTCATGAAGGGTAATATTAGCTGTAGTAACCAAAATCTTTTTTTGTACCAGGCTGTAAACACCTTTTTTCTGCTGTAAAGTTGGCCATTCTAATAGTGGGTTTAATTGAAAGTTGCTCTATTTTGGAGCCAGGAGCGGCCAGGACTAGCGGAATTTCAGATGAATTGCAGTTTTAGTTACTTCCGTATTGGCATGCTGAGGGAGAGCGGGAGGTTGCCGCTTGATTTTTTTTCAGCACCGAGATACTTAAGATGGTTTATTTATGTTTACTAAAGTACAAATATGTTTATTTGAATTGGCCAATTTATCTTTATTAACTTCACATTAGGAATGGATGTGTTCCGCAGTTTGTACACGGGCTACCAGCAGCTGTGAGATTTCAGTGGTAATTTTTTTTATATACAATAGGAACTAGTGTACATTTCTTGGCTTTTTAAGTATAACAAAATGAGTATTGCAATAAATTGTTTTTATTTTTTTCTCCTTAACCTCTTACTGTATCTATTGCCTATAGAGAGAAAAAAAACAAACAAAAAAAAAAACACGTCAAGCCATGAGAACCGAACCAAACCGAAAACCATGTTAAAAAACCGAGGTATGTATTGAATTGTGGGCTAACTGCATTGTTGCATCCCTAGTAAACACAGATACTGGGACACTGGAGCATTTTAAAGTGGCGATTTTATCAATGTATCACTTATATGTCAGCTATTAGAAATACCAGCTGATCGACGCGGCTTTGAAACACTCCTGTAAGTTTGGTGAACTGATGACCTTCACAGCCAATCACAGTCATTTCTGTTGAGCACATGAACACAATGGCAAATCAGCGCTGTTAAAGAATGTGCTCAACAGCAGTAAAATGTCAGCCGGATATGAACTTTTAAACTCTGAACTCTTTATTTTGATCCAAAAGAAGTTAGTATGAAGTATATCTGTGTCTGTAAAGGCATCTGGGGTATAATGCAGTAGCTAGTCAGCAAGGAGATGGCAACAAAACCAGTAGGACTGCATAAATAAACTACACAAAAGTATGCAATGATTAATCTCCCTTAAAAAATTTTTTTAAAATAAATTAATAAAATCTCCGTAGACAAACACAATGAAAATATGACACTTCAAAAACACCTCAGGAAACGGCATTTAAGATATTTTATGTGCCTGTATTTTCATTAAACGATTGATCAACTTTTAATACTTTAAGACCCCGCGGTCACCGTGTATAAATGCATTTGCCGAATTTACTCTGACATGGTGAACAATACACCCACTTGACTAATCAGCTGGGGTTTTTTCTTTGAGATGTCGAAGCCATATACTGCAGGCTACATATAAATGTCTGGTCATGACGTCCTCCCAAAAATCCTCCACAAGTAGATTTTTTTTATTTGTATGAGTCTCTTCCCTCCTGAAAAATCTAGCTTAAACCAGCCTAAGCTATTTGGCTGGTTTTAGCTGGTTGACCAGCCTGGTTTGAGAGGGGTTTTGGCCATTCCCAGGCTGGTTTCCAGCCATTTCCAGCCTGGTCTTAGCTGGTCAGGGTGGAAAATGACCAGCTAAAACCAGCTTGACCAGCCTGGACATAGC